CTTATGGAGGAGAAATTCTACTAGTGGAGCTGCTGGATCAGAAAGCATGAGGATTTTAAATGTTAATATGTTTCACTAAAGTGAAAGTGTTCAGTCGTGTCCTACTCTTTGTGGCCCCATGGACTGTAGCCCCCCTGGCTCCTCTGTCCATGGGATTCTCCAGGCAAGAACACTGGAGTGGGTTGCCATTCCCTTTTCCAGGGGATCTTCCCAACCCAGGGATCAAACTCAGGTCTCCTGCATTGCAGGCAGATTCTTTACCATCTGAGCCACCAGGGAAGCCCATATTTCACTAAAGAGGCTTTCAAACAAACCGATTGATACTCCCACCAATAGACGACACTGGAAAGGGCCCATCCTAACCTCCTTCCCTCCTCTCTTCACCTGCTTAATCCCTATTCATGCTTTCAGAGTGGTTTCATCCAGGATGCCTAGAAGGACCAGTGCCCCCTGCCCAGGACAGCCAGCACAGCTCTTTGCCTCCATGGGATGACTCTTGCCGGTCACCCCATGTTTGCCTCCACACAGTGCTTTGCATGGTAGACTGTAAGCCTCTCTTTACATATCTGTTTCCCAGCCTAGACTATGAGCTTTTTGAGGGAAGGGCTAAGCTTTAGCCTTGGGCCTGCTTCCTCTAGGTCCCTGGACATCTGTCTTCATGTGTTTGGTGCTCAGTCCCTACCTTCCTTTAGACTGGCTCCCAGGCCCTGCTTAGGCCATATTCCTCCAATTCTCTGTAAGCGGTTCCTGTCTCCCAGTCCTTAGCTGCTGTGGAAATACTCCTCTACAATCTGGGTCTTGTTTCTCCTCTTCCTCCCACCGAAAAGCCTAGTGTCCTCCTGTCTGGGTGCCCCCAGGTTTCTCTTGCCTGATCCCTCACTGAGCTGTTGGGAGGCTGACAGCCTGGATTGCCTGTGGCCAGCAGCCCTGAATGGGGTCAAACTGGAACCAGGCTGGACTTTTATGCTGAGGACAAGACCCCTACCTGCTCCTCACCACATTGAGACCGGGCCAGGCACAGAAAAGACATCCCCGCCACGCACACGTACTCCTGCTCTCCCTTCTGAACCTCGGTCTCCTGATGGTTCATCTCCTGAGGTTGACGGGAGGGTCCAGGGACATCACTGAATGTCAAAAGGTCTGGGGAAATCTTATCCAAATGGCAGGGATTATAAAGCCTCACTAACATTCTCCATCCCTCTTTGGGATAGCGAGGTCCAAAGGGCAGAAATAGTATAAGAGGCATGCAGGGGTCAGCAGAAACCTACAGGAAAGTCTCATTCTGCAGATGTCAATGCCAAGGCAGGCTGAAAGTATTGCTCAAGGGTCCCAGAACCTGGCTTGCTCCATACCAGGGCAAACAGAAAATAGGACAAAGGGTATAAGGAGTGGCCAAGGGGATGAAGGAGGGGGTGGGGCCTGGCGAGGCTGTGGGTGGGGAGGGGGCTGAAGCCAGGTCACATGCACCTGGGGGTCAGCTCCCTGAGACACCTCCCTTGTTCTCTGAACATAGTCCCTACTCTGAGCCTACCTTGGGGGTGGGACTCATTCATCCTGTCAGCAAAGGTTTCTGGTACTGAGTGCCAGGACTATGGAAATGAGTCAGACACAGAGAACTCCTGACCACGAGGACTCACAGGGAGAGAATGCATAGAGGAAAGGAGCTAGAGCTATCAAAAAAATAATCTTTTCAGGAACTGGCACGTGAACAGGGCTTGTTAGAGAGTAGATGGAATGGACAGGACTGGGAAGGACATTTCAAGTCAGAGATCCAGATACAAATGAATTAATAGAAGGATCTAGCTGGAACAGAGAGTGAGAGAAGGTCGTACCTTAGAACAAGGTAAAGCCTTATGATGGCTCAGCAGTAGCACCAGTTGTGGGGACCACCTCAGGAAGCTGAGGTGCTCTCTTGCAAGATGAAGTGGTTTCTGCTCCAAATCAGTGACTAAAATGGGAGGCTATTTATTTCACATCCAGGAAACCAAGATGTCCAATGTGACGGGTGGCACCTTCGATGAATACACCAAATAACTTACCCTCAAAAATAACTGCTTTGTGTGTCGTGGTCCCCAAAGCCTACTGTTCTAGAACCACAGCAGGAAGTGTCAATAAGGGGTTCACTGACCTGTAAACAAGGGCTTCCTGGGTGGCTTAGTGGTAAAGAATCTACCTGCCAAGCAGGAGATGAGCATTCAGTCTCTGGGTTGGGAAGATCTCCTGGAGAAGGAAATGGCAACCCACTGCAGTATTCTTGCCTGGAGAACCCCAAGGACAGAGGAGCCTGGAGGACTACAGTCCATGGGGTCACAAAAATTCAGACATGATTACTGACTCAAGAACAGCAGCAGCAGCACTGTAAATTGAAATCACCTGATCCTTGGTCATTTGGGGTATCTTGTATGACTAGGAAAACAGGCCCAAAAGTGGGCTATGGTGTTGGTAAGTGTGCCATTTGAGGTTCTTAGTTACAAACAACAGAAACCAACTTTAGTTAATTTGAGCAGAATGGTTTTATTGGAGAGATATGGGGCAACCTGGGGAACTGTCAGAGAGGATAGAGGGTTAGAAACTGGCAGGAACAAGGGAAATGGGCAACCAAGGGCAGGGCCAATCCTGTCCCCTGGGCCACCACCACCCTCAGCACCACAGCAGCGCAGGAGCAAATGCTTCAAGATCTGGGCTCCTCTGCTTTCATCCCTCCAAACAGGCATAAAGGTCTTTTGTGCTGCAACTGAGGTGTCAGCTTACACTGTGTGGGCCCTGGGCCTGGGTCTCGGCCTTGTTGGTGTCTCCAGTTGGGAGAGTCTCACCTCTGGCATGACCTTCCACAGTGACAGGCTCCTCAGACAGGCCCTGGGGAGAGGTCCCTTTCCATGGATGTACCAAGGCTGACTAAGGGAAATTGGGGCTGCTGCTCCACAAGGAGCAGGGAGGAAGGCAACCAGGACCTAAGGGGGTTCTTAACACATCTCCTTGTGTGATGCCAGTCAGGGCACCACAAAGGTTAATGTTAGGCCAACTACCACAACCCCACCCAATGGGGGCCCCCAGGGTCGCAGACTTCTGAGACACCATGACAGCTGAGGTGCTGGCTGAAGGCCAAGGGGGAACACAGAATGACTGGGAGATGAAGTTATAAATAGCAGCTTGGCCAGCTGCAGGAAAAAAGGACTGTGGCTTTCACCACAGGTTTCCATGCTTGCAGTGAGAGAAAAATCCTTTATTTTTTATCAATTGAAAACTTTTTTGGTTTGACTTATTTTGTTAACAGTCATGGAAAAACACTGACACAGAAAAAAATATCAAGCAGATTAACTTTTAAAAAAAAGCCCTATTCCTTACTACTTTCTTCCAAGCCCCTTTTCCTCCCCAGAGGCAACCACTGCCATCAGTTAGGTTTGCAGCCTTCCAGACACTTTTATGCATTTTCATATATAGTTTGGTTTTGTAAGGTTTTATTTTATCAATACATCAAGATTGTACATATTGCTCCATGATATGCTTTTTTTACTTAACATTATGTCTTGGAGATCTTTCCATATCAGTGCATACCATTTTTAACTGCTGCATAGTATTAACTCCATACAACTAAAATATCTAATTTGCTCTCAGGGACATGCATCACTTTACATTTTGAAACCAAGCTACTCCCCAAACTGCCCTGAAAAGGCTGCTATTGTTACATTCACACCCACAGCACAAGTGCTGCCATTTCTTCTCTTTGTAGCCCAAACTAGATATTATCATGAAGAAAAACTATCACTTTCTGATGGACATAATCAGTTTCATTGTTGCGTTAATTTACACAGCACTGATTGCCAGTGAGGTTGATCACTAGCAATAGCCAAGCTGTTGATGCTGAAAACAGCTCTCCAACTGTTGGGAGGAGTTTAAATTAGTACAATCACTTAGGAGAGCAGTTTGGCAATATCTAGTTAGAATGAAGATGCTCTAACCCTAAGATGCCCAAATTTTACCTCCATGTACTTACCCCTAAAGAAATTCACACATACGTACAGAGGAACATCTTTTAATTATGTTCACTGTTGCAAAACACTGGGAAGAAACTAAATGTCCACCAATGAGAGAATAGATAAATAACTGTGGTAAGTGTACAATGGAATATTTAGCATACAGCAGTTAAAAGGCAAGTATCAAAATGACTAAATCTCAGAAACAATGTTGAGTGAAAAAAATAAAGCTGCAAAATGATACATTTTAGCAATTATGTCCATTTAAAAAACTCTGTATTGGTTATGGAGATACATACACACATATACATATATATGTACACAAATACACATGCACGCACACACTTCAAAAATGGTAGACAAGAAGTAAACACAGCATTTCCTGGATAGTGCTTACCTCTGTGGAAGAAGGTAAAAATAACAGGTGAAGTTCTTCACCTGTACCTGAAAATGTATATTCATTGGAGAGAGAGAGAGATATCTGAAGCCAATATGGCCAAAGGTTCAAACCTGTTCATTTTATGTGGGTGGGTACCTCTGTTTTTCATAGTACTTGTCTGGCATATATTTCTCTGTTGCTTTTGTGTCACTGTGTTAATGTATACAATCAGCATACAGTTTTAGTTTTTACCCATTCCCTCTGAGACTTGCTTTACTTTCTGAGACTTGCTATTTTCTAAAAGAAGATTTTAACTCCTTCACCTCTACAGTCTGTTTGGATATGTTCCTACCATCACTATTTTTACTATGCTTTTTCACTGTTTCTTTCCTTCTCATAGACTGACAGAATATTCTTTACTCAAACTTTGCCCCTTTAGTAGTTCAACAGCCATACACTTTACTCCTACTTTTAGAAATAATTACCCTTACTTTTGTTGTTGTTGGAGTCAGTATTTCCAATGAAACTAATTTTTTTCCCTAGTGGGAACACCAAAAAACCCTATTTTGGAGGCAAATGCAAGAGATCAATTATAAAGTCACTTAGTACCACGGTTTTAGACGAAACCAAACAATTCCACTATACCATGTAAAACCAAAAGGAGAACTTTAATAAGCTTTTACGGCACTGCAATTACAGGAACATTAACCCATAACATGCAACAGAAATGATGATGCCTCTTGGACAAATTTAACAGATAAACTTGACATTACAATCAACAGCAACATATTCTACTGAAAAAAAAAAAATGCAACATTTCACTGCTCAGGTTAGAAAATGCATCTTCTTGCTGCAATCTCAAGTAGCACTTAGAAAATTTGGTTTTCCCTTTCTAACCTCTAAAACACAGTATGATTTTTTTTAATGCAATCATACACAATCATTTTCACACTGGAAATAATCACAAGGAATCAACAGGTGAAGATTAATCAACTGACTGATTTCACTGCAATGGTTAATTTGGAGAGGGCTCCTGCAGTATTGTGGATTTCAGATGGGGAAAATCATCAGACCAGGAGTAAAAAGCCTTGGTCTTAAAGTGGGGGAGGGAACATGCAGCGGCACACAGGGCAGGTGCCTGACTTCTGAAGCCAGATGGACACGCAAGGCTTGTGGAAATAGTGATGGCATGGAAGCTCTGTCGCCACCTCCCCCTTCGCATATTCACTGCAACAGATGGGGCAACACATCTCCTGCCCCACCGCACTGTGATCTTCCGTGATCAGGATCTCAGGAAGAGTGTCGATGCTCTCCTTGCTGGCTGGTGGATTGGCCACCTCCACATCCACCGCCAGAGACTCCAAGTGTGCCAGGGCAGTTTCCATTGCCTGGGCCAGGCGTTCTTCAAGTGCCATGTATGTGAGGAACTGAGGATCCACGTAGGAAATGGCTTCGGCTACCCCCAATCCATCCGCAAATCCATCGAAGAGGCTCCAATCCACTTCGAGGTCTTCACTGACACTGGAGTCATCTTCAAGGTTGTTGTTGCCATCCAGCATGAAGACACCAGGCTGCAGAAACTCCTGACCAGAATCATTATCCCCCTCACTGCTGCTCTCGTTTTCATTGTATTGGAGCCAAGGAACTTCTCCTTCTTCAGGGGATGCCCTTTCCTCTTCCTGGAGAGATGGCCCTCGAACTTCTTCAAGTTCATTGCTGCCACTGCTGCCAGCACTGGCACCAGCACTGGCATTCACTCTGGCTTGCTCGGCTTCAAGCTCTTCTTTTCCTGGCAGAGTCTCCCAGCTCTCACCGCTGGATGACAGATTTTGCTCCCGGCCATGATACTTGCGACGCAGAGCCGCAGTCCACTCTTTGTCACTGTCAGAGTCTTCTTCAAAGTATTTGTAGTAGTCATCGCTGTATGTCCAGAAGTCAGGGTCGGCCATGGTTCGTCGCCGTCTAGGCATCTTTTCGGGCTTCACTTGGTCACTCCTGGCTTCCCTCTTGTCTTCAGGGTACTTCGGCTCAGGGTAGCCACTTGAACCCTCACCTCTGCTCCTTCTTGCCAGGCCATCCAAGTGGCCTTCATCAGCGCTGGCAGTCTCCCTCCACCTGGAAGTGCTATGTGGCATATCATCATCATCATCGGTATCAAAAAAGATTTTTGGTTTCACGCAGTTGGGACTTGCCAGATTTCTAATTTTGGGCCTCACCACTGGTTCCTCTGCACTCTTTGGAGTGTTTTCCCCACCACAAATACTCACAGGAGCCCTGCTGGGACATGCAGGTAAATTTGGCTCCTGTCTCTCCCTCTCCAGGTTGTTGCTGTTTGTGACCACCTTGCCTTCAGCAGAAGACGGCTGAGAGGCCATGCTATTTGGCTGCAGGAACTCAGCTCTGCTAGCAGAGGACCGTGCTGCAGGGGCTGGGTCTAACTTCTCAAGCTCCTCTCTCACGTCATGGTTAAAACTAGAGAACTGAGAGGCCACCCCAGCCAAAGACCTTGCCCCCTTCTCCGGGTCATACAGCTTATCATCTTTAAACTTGCCAGTTTTCCCTCTCACTGGCACTCGCTCAACAGGCCCAGCCCCCTCCTCCTCACTATCATCTGCCCCAAAACAGTCAACATGTCCATAAGCCATTCCTCTTCTGCTCCCCGAAGCCCTGTACTCTCTGGGCGGGTACCTGGAGTAGTCCTCATTATCAGCATTCAGGCTGGTTCCTGAGCTCTCGCTGTCATCCCAATTACGACGAGTGGTGGAAAATGGTGATCGGCTCCTCTTGGTGGTTTGACCGGGGGCTGATCTGTGCATTGGGACTTTGGATGGCGTCTTTCTCTGGCTGGAAATCCTTTCTTGCTGGCTCGTAGATGGCCTGAAACTGACATAAGCATGCCTTCTTCCATACCTCCTGCCTGTATTGGACTGATACCCTCCTGCTGGCTTGGGCCAGATAGGCTTGCTAGATTCCTGACCCATTTGCTCTATTTAGGAGGGTTTCCAATATGGTTGGGGATTGAGTGGGAAGGCTCCTGCTCCCTGCACACACTTTGGAGATGGAAAGGTCAAATCAGTTCAGAATAAAGGAGCAGGGAGATTTATTTTCACTTCAGCAGGTAAAAAAATAAAAAAGAATAAGGGGCCTTTAAAATTAGTTTCACTTTCTTCTAAGGCCTGGAATAGCATTCAAGTGACCGTCAGGTGTAGACCTGGAACACATTTGTAATGTTGGCAAAATGCTTACAAAACTGGGTTTGTAGGAAAGCCAGACTTATGGGAGAATCTGATGGAAGATGGATGGTGACTGGACGTTCAGAAGGTGGGTGAAACACTGGAATTGTGCCAACATGGGAAGAGGAAAGATGGCTGTGGTTTTTTTTATGGGGTGCCTGCATTTTTCTGAGCCCTGTAGACATACAGAAGAAATGCAAATTGGAATAGAGTGGAAAATATAGATCACCATCACTATGTATGTGAGAGTGCCTAGTGTCTGTCAGGAGGAGCAGGACAGGTGGAAGGGGGACCAGCAATCATGAAGAGGAAAGATTCCTGTGTTTGTAGAGGGAAAGGGCTGGTGATGCACATGGGAAAAGGCATGACTGTTGGGCAAAATGAGACCCATTGTGAATGCGGGTATGAAAATGACAGGCATGGTGTGGCTTCAGAGGAGAGGGGCATGTGAACGTACGATAGAAAGAGAATATGCATGTGGTTCTGATGTGTGATGGCTGGAGCTCTAGGGAGGGATGCCTATGTTGATGTGTCTGTGGCAGGCCAGGAGTATAGAGGCATTGGATGGAGCGTCCTTCAGTTTGTGTGTATGTTCATCAAAATGGGAGGCAACAATAGAGAAGTGTCAGTGTGAACAAATGCATCAATGGGGAGACAGCACTGGAGAGGGACATGCATGTGGCAGGTGGGTGGGCACCAGCAATCAAAGAACATCTGTATTCATGGATGTGGCGACAGGAAGGGGGGATGTTCCAAGTTGGGATTTATGTGAATGTGTGTGTGTGTGCATGGCAGGGACCAGTGAAGGAGGCTGTCTCGACATATGTAGCAGACAGGGAGCACCTGAGAGGGGTATGTGAAAGAGCATGTGGGTGAGTATGCATGTAAATGGTGTAGAAAAAAGGAGCCAGCAATCCAAGGATATCCTTATGTGTGTCAGTGGCAGGCAAGGGGTAAGGCCTCACAGAGGGTGTGTGTGTGTGTATGTGTGTGTGTGTGTGTGTGTGTGTTGTGTTGTATGCTCACTAGAGCATGCAGAGGCACAGGGAGGAGGGGAGGTATGTTTGTGGAAGGTGGTGAGAGGCAGGAAAGGCACCGGAGGGTGGGAGGCTGTGTGTCTCAGTCATTCTGTGTCTCTCTCGGGGGAAGGCACTGGGGAGTGTGACAATGTCTGAGAGGGTGTCTGTGCATGTGTGTCCAAGCATGTGGGGGGGAGGGGACACTCAGGAACCTTGAGTATGGGGAGCAGTGGTAAGGCAGCTGCATTGGAAGGTTTTGGGCATGCGTGTGTGCGTGTGTGTGCGCACGCACGCGTGCGTCCGGGTGCACACACCCGTGTATGTGTGGGCATGTGCGTGTGTGTGTCCCGGTGCGTGCACGCAAGACACTAGGATGGGAGGGGGTCCGCAATGTCATAATGAGAGGGGGAAACGTTTATCAGCTCAAATGGTAGATCCAAATCAATGTGGCAGGGAAGGGGGAAAAAAGAAAGGGAGTGTGGGGATACAGCTATCCCTGGGAATGATTTGTTTTTCTGACAGCATTTCTTTTCCTGGAACAATATATTTGCCTAAAAACTTCATCCTTTACCATTCATTAAAACAACTGCAAAATGGGGAAAGAAAGACCACGAATCGCTCCACAGAGGAGCCAAGAGGGGAGGCAGGAGGAGAGGGGAGGACAAGCAGAGAGGGCCGCGACCACCACTCCCCTCTTGAACAGCGACTCAAGCCGCCCGAGCGGGGGCCGGGCCACACGTAAGGAGCCAGGGATGGAGGATGAGTCCTAAATCGGGTCAATGGAGGACACAGGCCTCCCTCTTTGGTCAGGTCCCGCGTCCGCCCCACCCCTTTCCGAGGGGTGAGCCCGAAAATCTGTTCGCTAGAGCCCCCCACCCCCACATCCTTACCCTGGTGCCCGGCCACTCGCCCTCATGCTTGGCCACTGGCCCCACCGTCATGTCTGAAAAGATTGAGGAAATAAAGTCTTTCACTCACCCAGTCGCGACCCCGCACGCTCTCGGGAAGAACAGATTTCTCGTACCTCCAACCGCCACGACCGCCAGAGCCGCTGCTCCCGGGGCTCCAGCTCCTCCCCCTCCAGACAGCAGTGGGGCAGGCGCGACTGCGACGGCGGAAGTGATTGTGGCGTCGCGGCGGCCCGCCCCCTTGATGTGGCGGGGGCGGCAGCTGCTCTCAACAAATCAGGGTGGGCCCGAAAGCATTATTTCATTTGAAATGATGAAATCGTCAAGGATACCGAAAAGGACAGCGAAAAATGTAACCAACAGCCAGCTGTAACAAATGTTAAACATTTAGTCACATCCCCTTCTGTTCTGGGGTTTGCATGGTTGCTGTCCTTGCTGTCTGATATAAAGTGAAATCTGCAAATTCCTTCTGATTCATTCCGATGTGAAAGTAATCATATTAATGTACCCTATCCTATGTTCTGTATTATGGTTTGTAGTGGAAGTATCACTATATTTAGGGTTGCGGTCAACAGAAAATTTTTTAACCTGGTGGTTGAAGCAAACTGAACTGTTTATCATACAATTTGTTGCTGTTAATCGAGCTTCTCTATCCAGAAGAAATGATCAGTCATTGCAGCACAACATAGCTTCACATTCTTGTAATTGCATTGCCCTTTAAAATATTAGAGCTATGCCTTTTGGATTTACACAATTTTACCGAACTCCAAAGTCTTTTTTATATATTGCGCTTTACATGTATCTCTAATACTTGAATCAAATGTAAGACTTACCTTTGTTCATGACAATAGCAAAGCTTTGTTCTTTACTGGGAATAAAATGCATAATAGAAGAACAAGGAGTTTTAGGGGTAATAACAGAATAGAAATAGGATGTATAACTTTCAAACCATTGAAGAAATAGCATGTAGAACAAAGAAAAAAATTCATTCTTACAAAACGCAGAAATGGGATGAGAGGCAACAAGAAAGTATGTTAAAAAGGGAGGGGGGGCAGAAATAAATCCAGATATATCAGTATGTACTATGGGTTAATGTCTCCCATAAAAAATGTAAAAGCAAACTCTCAATTTAAGCTTTTAGTTTTCAGAAATCCAATTATATGCTGTTTATATGTTTCACCTAAGGCAGAAATAAGAATGGAAAATATATTTTTCAGTGAAATACCAGCAGAAAGAAGGGAAAGAAAAAGGTAGAGAAGGAAGGATGGGGGAGGGGAAAGAATAAATTTTAGAAAGGAGAAAAGAGAAGGAAAGAAGGAAGGAGACATGTAGCAATGTTAATATCAGAAAAATTAAGAACTCAAAGTAAAAAGCATTTAAAAAAATCATGTTGTTTCATTCACCAAGAAGACATAACCACAAAAATTTATACACCAAATAATGTAATTTTAAAATACATGCGGTAAATATTACTAGAAATATAGAAATCAGAAAGTCTGCAATTATAGTGGAAGACTTAACCACACTTATTTTGGTATAGATAGAGTGAATAGACTGCAAAATAAACAGAAGTATAGAGAGATTTCACAATCCAATTAATAAGCCTCATCTGATGTATATGTATTTTTGTACTCAAGAAATAATGTATTTTTGTTAAAATATTTAAAATATTTCAAACATAAAGTACAGAGAATAAAATGTACATTTGCCCACATGTACTTGCTACACAGACCAAGCATATTTTATTCTGTTTAGATCCTGAGATTTTTCTGTTTTTTAAACAAAAATTATGGTTGAATCTCTCACTTTATCCATTCATCTTACCTCTTTTTCCCAAAAAAGAACCATTTGGATGTCTCTTTCTTGTGCATGCTTTTTCTTTTTTTATATGTATGTATTTATTTCTTACCAATATATATTATTGTTTCATGTATTTTACATTATGTGAATAGCATAATAAATACATCCTTTGGAAACAAATTTTCATTTAATATTTTTTGGAAGTTAGCAATTTGATTCATTTAGATCTAGGTCATACATTTTAACTAATGAATACAATTGTATCAATTTTCCAATGTGATATTATGATAATATATCATTGTATGGACTTCTGTTACATGGATTATCTAATTTCTTTATCTTTTTGCCTGCTGATGAACTTGGATTGTTCCTGTTTTGTGCAATTATAAGTGAAGATTTAATGAACACCTTGGCTATGTCTCCTCATGCCCATATTGAAGAGTTTCTCTGAGGCAGTACTTTGCAACTGGGTAATGGGGTTTCTGATATATTGATTCCCTTAGCACTCTAGAAAGATGGGCCTGGCTTTATCCAGCTGCTGCCCTGGGGCTGTTCCCTCTGGCTAAGAGTAGGCTGTCTCTTCATTCCAGTGAGCTGGTAGAACTGTAGTAGCATTTTTAACATGCTCTGATGTGGAAAGGATTGGAAAAAGCTACTTTAGTGTATGTGTTTTGAAGTAGAATTTCTGGGTCAAAGGATATGTAATAGTTAACTAATGCTGTGTAACAAATTGCCTCAAAACTTAGAAGTTTAAGACAACAGACAACTATTATATCACAGTTTCACAGGTCACAAACCTATACATGGCTTAGCTGGGTGCCTCTGGCTCTAAGTCTCTCATGAAGTTGCACTCAACTGTCATCTGGGCTGCAGTCGGATTCGCAGGGAAAATTGTTGTAGGAGGTCCACATCCAAGGTCTTTACATGGCTGTTGGAAGGCCTCAGAAGATCCACTGCCAAGCTCACTCATGTGGCTGCTGTCTGGCTTCAATTCCTTGTCATGTGGGCCTAGCCATAGGCTTCCTGAGTCTCCTCACAACCTGGCAGTTGGTGAAAGAGAGCCAGAGAGCAACTAAGATGGAAGATACAGTTCTTTTATGACTTAAGTCAAAAGTGACATCCCAAAACTTTTGCCATATCCTATTTGTTAAAAGTAAGCCAGAGAATTTGTCCACCTAAGATATCAAATTTGTAGGCATGGAATTGTTCATAATTAATGTCTTTATTATCCTTTTAGTGTCCACAGGACCAGTAGTGATGGCTCCTCTTTCATGTTTGATATTAGTACTTTTGTCTTCTCTCCCTTTTTCTTGGTCACCCTGGCTAGAGACTTACTAATTTTGTTGATCTTTTAAAAAAATCATCTTTTGGTTTAACTGATATTCTATATTGCTTTATTTTTTCAATTTCATTTATTTCTGCTACTTTATTATTTCTTTTCTTCTGCTTACTTTGGGTATAATATGCTCTCTTTTTGTAGTTTCTTAATGGTGGAAACTTACATTATTGATTTTAGATCTTTCTCTGTTTCTAATGTAGGCTTTCAATATTATAAGTTTCTTTCTAAGCACTGCTTTTACTGTATCCCACAAATTTTGGTAAATTCTAGTTTAATTTTTATTTTTTTCAAACTTAAAAAAATTTCTCTTGAGACTTCTTCTGAATCCATGTGTTATTTAGAAGTGTGTTGTTTAATCTTCAAATATTTTGAGATTTTCCAGCTATCTTTCTGTTATTGATTTGTAATTTAATTCTGCTGTGGTCTGAGAACACACTGTGTATGATGTCTAATGTTTTAAATTTGTTAAGATGTGTTTTATCACCCAGGATGTGGTCTATCTTGGTGAATGTTCCATGTGAGCTTGAGAAGAATGTGTATTCTGTTGTTGTTGGATGAAGTAGTCTATAAATGTCAATTAGATCCAGGTGATTGATGATGCAATTCAGTTCAACTATGTCCTTACTGATTTTCTGCCTGCTGGTTCTGTCAATTACTGATAGAGGGGTGTTGAAGTCTTCAACTGTAA